CTTTCTTTATACACTCTCGTTCAGAAATTGTAACTAAAATCCACTCGGGATATTTACAGTATAAGTTACCCCAGGGCTCTCGTTGTTGAACAAACAAAAATGGGCCTGAGCAGACACCGGCAATACGGATAGTTTGACACCCTAGCAGAACAGACGAAAGCTTGTAAATATAATAAAAACTTATGCAACAGAAATTTATAAAAACAAGGATCTTTTCATTCATAAACAGGTTCGGGGTTTTTGTATATTATTTGAATTGTTCACGACGATGGATTTCTCGCCAATTAAATCATTAACCTTTGTATTTGTTTTTGTATGAATAATTCATGAATATATATATATATATATATATATATAGAGAGAGAGAGAGATAGATAGATAGATAGATAGATAGATAGATAGATAGATAGATAGATAGATATAAACACTGCCAGACCGAAACAGATATAAACAGAGATAATTATCATAAGTATATTGAAGATAGATAGCTAGCTAGATAGATAGATTAAGACAAGTACTTATAGACAGAGGGGTGAAAAAACAGGAGTCATTGATTGGTATTCATTTACCAGGAAATACTCGCTTAGAAAATACCTTTATCTATCTGCACATGCTGAAAGATAGATATGAACAGAAATATATATATATATAGAGAGAGATAGAGATAGATAGATAGATAGATAGATAGATAATGACTGAATGCAATAGATAGATAGGCAGAGACACAGAAAATAATGTAATAGACAGTAATTCAAAGTATAGCTGTGGAAAACTGAAGAAATAAAAACAATTCTTGCCGATTAAAGAAACGAAAAAGAAATAAAGTAAGTGAGCCTCAAAATGGCTTTTAAAAAAGAATTATTGTTTCACTGCAACATAAAATTTAGGCGATCGTTGTTGTAATGAATTTATTATCAAGCGCTTCTATATGTATTGACATTTAAGACATCAGCAATGGAGGTAGAAGAGTGAAATACATACTGTTTGTCGCCCAGTAGATTGTTTCTGTTGATATGATCAACGACATTCTTGTTTGGAATAAACTCAAAAAGGGGGTTACGGGTTCGATATTAGGAAAGTGATGAGCATTAACCCACATTTTTGTAAACTGGACATACAGCTGACCTTCCATAGATTTAGGGAGAATTTCTTCAAGCAACGATTAAACCAACTTTCCAAGATTATTTAATAATTACCTGCCTAGTAGCCTTCGTAGAGTTAAAGCTTTTGATAAGTCTAGAAACCTCTTCAACTAAGATATAGCAAAATATGTGCGCCATACACGGGCGACGTCAGGTAGGGGATGACTCTGATCGTTTTTTAGGGAGGTAGAGAAAAAGTTGATTGCAAAGGGATGATATAATCTCGGAGTTATTTATAACTAGCTTAAAAGCCGCCCTAGCGGTTGGCATTTAAGCTAGCTCCTGCGGTTGATTCTTGATTGTGCCTTCATCACAATAAGTAGGGAGGTGTAGATGCGATAGGCAACAATAAACTACAGGAGAACTCAAAATTGATCGCTGCATTTAAGTATTGCATTACAGTTCCATCTTACCTTTTAGAAAGTTCAACAATAATTCTTCAGTCGACACTTAATTTAATGACAATTTGATGTACGTAGGTCCTTACTTTCCGCACAGAAAATTATTTTTATTTCATTGGCAAATTTCGATGGATTTAACAATTAGTTTACTTCCATGTTATAAAAATTGTTATCGTACAAAAAAAATCTGTCGCAAAAAGTTACGTAAAACAAATTGATGAAAACAATCGCAGTAATGAAAATTTGGGAATACAAAATTTCAAGATTGCGGGTCTAGATCTGACTAGGAATGTTTTAATTTGCTCACGGAGTGGGCCTGATTCCAAAATGGTCTGATATGTTTGTCTATGGCGTTTAGGAGTAAAGTTGAAAAATAGTAACACAGTGACACATTCGCATTTATTATATAGATAGAAGTCATTGACGGTTTGATTCTATTGAGAATCTTGTTTGCCATTTTGTAGAACTATTGGGAGGCTTTTTTGAGTTTGGTTTGGACTGCTGACGTATGAATATCTAAACGAGCAGGGCCTGGTAGCTAGCATACCCTTGACCCTTGTACGCACAGCTCAATGGAGGAATACCTGTTTTGTAATATTCAATACATCCAAAACGACGTTTCATCATCACTGAGAAGGCATTAATTTTATATTGCCATCATGAACGGTTGTACTCTGATTCAGACATCTTGCTTCGAACGCCTGTTGGGACTAAAGATCCCCCCAGACCTCGGGTGAAACTCATATATACGGTCCATTGCTAAAGTGCTTCTAGACTTAGTGGCTTCCTAGTACGGCTCCAGACAGTAACTGAATCGTCCGACCATGCTGAATATATATATATATATATATATATATATATATATATATATATTTTGTAAAGTAGTTTTCACAGTGGAGGCTGGTATTTCAAGAAGTCGGTCCTAAAAGAGTCCAACGTACAAAACGTTAGGGACTTGCAATAATAGTTAATGACGCATCAATCTAGTTGTAATGGTTGATACTTCAATGTCCGACATCGACTGACTCACTCAACACCACTGAGCCCAACTTGCCACTGCTACTACTACTTATTATCTGTGTGAGAGTCTACTACAATAGAATAGGTAACGTTCTGGTATAATATATATATATATATATATATATATATATATATATATATATATATATATATATATAGGTATGTGGTGCAGTTCAATTTACATTACATGAATCATTCATACAAAAAACAGATATAGAAGTTAATGATTTAAATGGCGAGAATACATCTCCGCAAACAAATTTAATGAAGTACACTAACCCCGAACCTGTATATGAATGATATGATCCCTGTTTATAAATTCCAGTTGCATAAGGCCTATTTTTTTAGTTTTTTTACAAGCTTTCGTCTGTTCCTACTGACATCCTCAGGTATGGAAATAGATTTGTTTTTGTTTTTTACTTCTCGGTTTTAACAGGACAACGAAAATATAGATGTAATCCGAGAAAATGTTTTTAGAAATGTGCTACTGCCAACTGCAAGAAATCTTTTTGGAGCGTGCGGTCGAAACACTGAGGTTGAATTTTTAAATTTAAGATTATGCGTTTTTGTATTAAAATGGTAATAGGAGAATTATTTTGTACTGGTAGGTTTTTCAGTCAATGTGGCATGAACTAAATTGTTCAATAAATACAGGAATGTCACAGTTATTATCCGAAATTTGCACGTCGCATCAGTTATTTTAATATCAAGTATGTGGTGCAGTTCAATATACATAACATGAATCATTCATACAAAAAACAGATATTGAAGTTATTGATATAAATGGCGAGAATACATCTTCGCAAACAAATTTAATGAAGTACACTAACCGCGAAACTGTATATGAATGTTATGATCCCTGTTTGTATAAATATATATATATATATATATATATATATATATATACCAAAGTATATGATTGGTGTATATGGAATGAATTCCAATAACCAATAAATACGATTCTTAAAAGAGTGCTCAAAACATCTGAATAGCTATTATAACATGACGTTGTCAAGCTTTTTGAATTTTCCTATACTTGTATTTTGATTGGTCCATCTAGCTTTTAACAACGTTTCCCCCTGTGAAGGATCATTAATTAATTCAAAACTTTTAAAACCATTTATTTTACATTCAACATCATCACTTGATAAGAGACCGAGGGTGTTGAAACAAAAATGGCTATTTTTTAGTGATTTTATAACATATTTATGTTATAAATTTTTTAAATAAATAATTATATATATATATATATATATATATATATATATATATATATATATATATATATATATATATATATATATATATAAGTCAGATCAGCCCAAAATGTACTATTGCTGCTATGTCCAGGCTGGAGCTTGCACAATATAGTCTTTCCAGCCTTTACAGAATTCAAAAGCGTTTACTCGGTCTTGTCTAAATTATTTCCCGCCCGACACGCTCTTCCCTACAGACGAAACATTGACACCCTCTTCCTAGAATATCGCTATATCCCTGATTCAGAGGAGCTACATTCCTTAGTTCTACCAGTTCAGAACCTCACAACTAGAAGCTGCCATGCCACAGAAAAATAGTTGGCTAAGTCTTATTCCCTTCGTGTCCAATTGATAAGGAATAAGTTTCAATCAGACATTTTCTTCCTAAGAACTGTTACTTTGAGGAATAGGCTTCTTTTATCAGTATGATCTTTACCTCTTCACGTCTAGGATCAATCGTTATATATGCTACATATCTCCATAACGTGCACTTCTTAACTCCTCCTTTTACAACTGTGAAATACCATAGTTCAGTGTCACTCTAACTTGAGTGGCTCTTAGGCCTTGTATTTTATGAAAAAATAATATAAAATGTATTGGATATTTTTGTTCGAAATTATTACCTTCAATGCTTTTGTAAATGCACAATGATTTCGCTGGGAAAATAGACAAAATATGAACTGAGGCTGCGTCTGGCCCAGAGCAAAAGGGTAATTTTCAATCCGATCAGAAGATCCGAATGCCTTGTGTGATTATGGTAGGGATGAGTTTGCTTATACGCCGAAACAAAGGAAAGCAACAGAAAATTAACCACTTTAAAATAAGTACTTAAAAAAGAAAGAAAAGTAAGAGAGAGAAAGAAGAAGAAGAAGAAGAAGAAGAAGAAGAAGAAGAAGAAGAAAGATAGAAAAAGGAAAGAAAAGAGGCCATGGATTCACCATCCTTCCCGGTTTTTTGAACATTAGAGATTTTGTTCAGTATAGGGTTTTCGGTTTCTTCAAAAGACTTTTTATTCTCTTTCACTCCTAGTATGCCTTGCGCCTTAGTGGCATTATCATCTTACTTGGGGCGAGTTGGTTAAAAAAGAAACAAAGAAAGAAAAAAGTTATGAAGAAATTAATTATAATTAAAAGTAAAGAAATGTGTAATTATAAAAACAAAGAACAAAAGATAAAAGTAAATTATAAGGAAGGAAGGGTAGAAGGAAGGAAGGAAGGAAGGAAGGAAGGAAGGAAGGAAGGAAGGAAAAGAAAGATGTAGTAAAGGACGGAACAAAAATGAAAAAAAAATAAAAGAGTGTAAAGAAAGAAAAAAGAAATAATGAAAAAAAAGAAAGAGGATGAAAGAAAAAAAAAAGAAAAAAAAGACAAAGAAAGAAAGAAAAAAAAATAATGAAAAGAAAAGGACAAAAAAAGAAAGAAAAAAAGAAATAATGAAAAAGAAATAATGAAAGAAAGAGGACAAAGAAAGAAAGAAAAATAAATAATGAAAAAAAGAAAGAGGACAAAGAAAGAAAGAAAAAAGAAATAATGAAAGAAAGAAAGAGCACAAAGAAAGAAAGAAAAAAAGAAATAATGAAAGAAAGAAAGAGGACAAAGAAAGAAAAAAAAAAAAAGAAATAATGAAAGAAAGAAAAAAAAAAGAAAAAAAAAAAAAAGAAAGAAAGAAAAAAAAAAAGAAAGAAAAATGAAAAAAAGAAAGAAAGGGACAAAGAAAGAAAGAAAAAAAGAAATAATGAAAGAAAGAAAGAGGACAAAGAAAGAAAGAAAAAAGAAATAATGAAAGAAAGAAAGAGGACAAAGAAAGAAAGAAAAAAGAAATAATGAAAGAAAGAAAGAGGACAAAGAAAAGAAAAAAAAAGAAATAATGAAAGAAAGAAAGAGGACAAAGAAAGAAAGAAAAAGAAATAATGAAAGAAAGAAAGAGGACAAAGAAAGAAAGAAAAAAGAAATAATGAAAGAAAGAAAGAGGACAAAGAAAGAAAGAAAAAAGAAATAATGAAAGAAAGAAAGAGGACAAAGAAAGAAAGAAAAAAAAAAGAAATAATGAAAGAAAGAAAGAGGACAAAGAAAGAAAGAAAAAAGAAATAATGAAAGAAAGAAAAAGGACAAAGAAATAAAGAAAAAAATAATGAAAGAAAGAAAGAGGACAAAGAAAGAAAGAAAAAAGAAATAATGAAAGAAAGAAAGAGGACAAAGAAAGAAAGAAAAAGAAATAATGAAAGAAAGAAAAAAGAAAGAAAGAAAAAAGAAATAATGAAAGAAAGAAAGAGGACAAAGAAAGAAAGAAAAAAGAAATAATGAAAGAAAGAAAGAGGACAAAGAAAGAAAGAAAAAAGAAATAATGAAAGAAAGAAAAAGGACAAAGAAAGAAAGAAAAAAAGAAATAATGAAAGAAAGAAAGAGGACAAAGAAAGAAAGAAAAAAAAAAAAAAAAGAAAAAAAAGAACAAAGAAAGAAAGAAAAAAAGAAATAAAGAAAGAAAGAAGGAAAAGAAAGAAAAAAAAAAAATAAAAGAAAGAAAGAGAGGACAAAGAAAGAAAAAAAAAAAAAAATAAGAAAGAAAGAGGACAAAACAAAGAAAGAAAAAAAGAAATAATGAAAGAAAGAAAAGGACAAAGAAAGAAAGAAAAAAAATAATGAAAGAAAGAAAGAGGACAAAGAAAGAAAGAAAAAAAATAATGAAAAAAGAAAGAAAGAAAGGAAAAAATGAAAGAAAAAGAAAAAAAAAGAAATAATGAAAGAAAGAAAGAAACAAAGAAAGAAAGAAAAAAGAAAAATGAAAGAAAGAAAGAGGACAAAGAAAGAAAAAAAAAAGAAATAATGAAAGAAAGAAAGAGGACAAAGAAAAAGAAAAAAAAAGAAAAAAAAAAGGAAAGAAAGACAAAGAAAGAAAGAAAAAAAAGAAATAATGAAAAAAGAAAGAGGACAAAGAAAGAAAAAATAAAGAAAGAAAGAAAAGGACAAAGAAAGAAAGAAAAAAGAAATAATGAAAAAGAAAGAAAGAGGACAAAGAAAGAAAGAAAAAAAGAAAGAAAGAAAGAAAGAAAAAAAAAAGAAAGAAAAGAAAAGAAAAGGAAAAGAAAGAAAGAAAAAAAAAGGAAAAAGAAAGAAAGAAAAAGAAAAAATGAAAGAAAGAAAGAGGACAAAGAAAGAAAGAAAAAAAGAAATAATGAAAGAAAGAAAGGACAAAGAAAGAAAGAAAAAGAAAGAAAGAAAAAAAGAAAAAATGAAAGAAAGAAAGAGGAAAAAGAAAAAGAAAGAAAAAAGAAAAAAAAATAATGAAAAAAAGAAAAAAGGACAAAGAAAGAAAGAAAAAAGAAAGAAAGAAAGAAAGAAAGAGAAATAAGAAAGAAAAAAAAAATTCTCAAAAAAGAAAGAAAAGGACAAAGAAAGAAAGAAAAAAGAAATAATGAAAGAAAGAAAGAGGACAAAAGAAAGAAAGAAAAATTCTCAAAAAAAGAAAAAAGAAAGAACAAAGAAAGAAAGAAAAAGAAAGAAAGAAAAAGGACAAAGAAAGAAAGAAAAAAGAAATAATGAAAGAAAGAAAAGGACAAAGAAAAGAAAAAAAAAAGAAGAAATGAAAAGAAAAAGAAAAAAGAAAGAGGACAAAAAAAGAAAAAAAAAGAAAAAAATAATGAAAGAAAGAAAGAGGACAAAGAAAGAAAAAAAAAAAGAAAAAATGAAAGAAAGAAAAAGGACAAAGAAAAGAAAGAAAAAAAAAAGAAATAATGAAAGAAAGAAAGAGGACAAAGAAAGAAAGAAAAAAGAAATAATGAAAGAAAGAAAGAGGACAAAGAAAGAAAAAGAAAAGAAAAAAAAAAGAAAGAAAGAAAGAAAATCAAGAAAGAAAAAAAAAAATAAAAAAAGAAAGAAAAAAGAAAAAAAAAAAAGAAAAAGAAAGAAAGAAAGAAAGAAAGAAAGAAAAAAAGAAAGAAATATCAAGGAAAAAGAAAGAAAAAAAAAAAAAAAAAGAAAGAAAGAAAGAGGACAAAGAAAGAAAGAAAAAAGAAATAATGAAAGAAAGAAAGAAAAAAAGAAAGAAAAAAAAAAATAAAAAAGAAAGAAAGAGGAAAAAAAAAAAAGAAAAAAAAAATAATGAAAA